GGTAAAATTGTTGGCAAATTACGTTCAATGTTAGGTACAACGTTATATATATATATATATATATATATATATATATATAACAAAAGTGCATTTTAACGAGCTCACCTATTATAGGGAATGCTTTTGTTATTATTAGGAATAACAATATTAGACTTCTGCTGTGGGCGTTCTTTTTGCTTGACGATGGAGGAATTTCTAAATATGGCTCACATTGCCATCTTCATAAGAACTACTATCCATCAAATCATTTTTTCGATACATGCTTTTAAAAGATATCTTATTTTAAAAGTTGTGACATGAACGTCGGACAGAATCTGTGCTTATCAACCGAGTCCGCAAAACACGGAAAATCATCGAAAATTTGTCGGAATTTAAAAGGTCAATTTTGCCAGTAATTGTAAGCTAATAACGACTGTGTTTAAAATATTTTGATCAAGGAAAAGTGCTTTTGGTAAAAAGGAAGTGGTATTTATAAATTTGAGACTGACGAACTTGGACATAATTAAGTTACTTTTTTTTCCTAATAAACAAATAGTATTTCTTTTAAGTAGCACATTTTCCAAAGGTTTTTCGTTATTATTTCTACGTTTTCGTACCTGCGTTAATGCCGGTTTGCGAGAAGTTAGCAATCTATCGCAAACGTCCATATTTACACGACTTATGGGCCGTACCGTAAGCAGCGAACATAGTTGTCACTTACCTATGTTTACGGCCCTTCGAAATGCAACATATTTCATAGAAGACTCGCACAAATATATTTCTTCTTCTACTTAGTTGGTCAAAACTTACTTTCTCTCCCTCTTTTTCACCTTAAGAAGGATATATCTCGGTTAAAAAGAAAACTTTTTTTAAATTTTCCTCTGGAAAACACAGTCACGCTTTTCTCTACGCTAGTAGTATGGACCGTGCTGTACACTTTTTAAACAGTATTCATAATGAAAAGCCAGATAAGATCATTTGTGCATGGATATTTCACCGTCTTAAAAAGCACAGAAAACTTTCTTGAACCCCCCAAAAATACTATTTCTTGAAGTACAAACGTTGAGTAGACGTTCTTTTCCGCCAATTGAATATAAGAAGAAATAGACTATGTGCCGTTTTCCTAAAATGTACTTGAATTTATAGGAGCATTTAGAATTACTGGGCGAAATCCATGCTACTTTAGCAGTAATTTTTACAGTGTCATTTTGGCAGGCAGGCAGTCAGAAACAAATTCCCTCAAAACGCGGCAGTAGGGTTTTAAATGGGGTCTTCGAAAGGTCCCTATGTATTATAGCGACCTACTTAAATGTTTTAAGTAGGATGAACTACCCATAATCTTTCAGTTTTCTATACGCCATCCGTCGATCCAGCAGGGAGTTGATGATAGCATTGAACTGCAGAGCGGTCCTCCGAAGGTCACCGCATACCATAACCGCTTAAGTCAGTATACGAAGTGAAATTAGCCTTCTGAATTAACCACGGGAATAACCGCATACTTACACATTTTAAGTAGGGTGATTTCCAAAATCTTCCCACTTTTGTACTTCGTTAACC